AAACGAGAGAGGTGCAACAGGTTGGTTGGAACAGCGGGTGCGTGCCTGGATCTGCTTGTGGGAAGACAGATAGCCCTAGACCTGGGTCTGCGGCTCAGCCAGCACCCAGTGCGGCACTATGGACTCGGGGTTTCAGGTCTGGGGCCAAGATTAATCCATTTCGGTCCCCTTTCCCTGGTCATCGAAATCCTTCCCAGTACGGACACTTCTCGCAGAAACTTTCAAAGTGGTGGGAGCAAAGTTAAACACCTTATCGTCTGAGTTTGAATAGGAACCCAGGGCAGTTTGTGAAGACACTGGGCGTTTTCAAAAGGACAGGAGATTTAAAAACCAGACCCAGCTAGCTAGAGCAGGTTGCAACCCCCCCCCCCTTCACTGATTTCCCCATACAATGGACATGGTCCGCGGATTGGTGTTTTTTGTTCGTTAGTTTGTTATTTTTAACAAGAGCCTCCTTTCCAACCAAAGTTCACAGAGTTAAAAGGGAGGGGGATGGGGGAGGCCTTTGGAGTGTGTGAGAAATGCAGTCTGATCAGAATCTCTAGTCTTCTACCAGAGAAGTTCCAGAGAATGTAGCCCCAGGCTGTCCTCAAGCCACCGCTGGCAGATAGCTGTCACTGCAGACGCTATCCGTTCCCTTCGCGGTAATTAGACGAAGTACAAGCTAAACCCACTTGTCAACGTCGCAATTCTTTGCACGCTGAGAGAGAATTGATAAACACCCCGAGGACGAAGAAGAATTTAGATAGATCTCCGTTCAGCCAGCCCTGTCCCCTGCTCTAAGCCTGAGCGCTTCCTGCCCCCTTGCGTCGGCCGGTCAGGTTTCATCTGTATGCAGATTCCTCTTAAAAGGGTTTCTTCTCCCTGCTGCGCTCCCGAAGCCCCTCACAATCAAAATCCAGCGCTGTTTTCAGTGAATTTCTGGGCAGCCCTGCTTATCATAACGAAATATTTTCCCCCAATAACACAAAAATGACTATGAAACAAGGAATTGGGATAATGGAACAATTCCTTTTCTCTTCAATGAAACACAGAATTTGGAAAAGAGGGGTGTGTGAAGAACCCCTTTACATTTCAGTTGAAACGAAAGATGCGAGATTTAAGGAGAAATCTCCGTCATTTTAGCCCTTCCTGTGGTCAGCTTGAGTGCCTCTCTCTCAGGAGTTTTTACACAACACTAACTTCACTGGTAGATTTTGCTGGCAAATATCAGAATCTGTTCCAAGAAGCCCAGTGGCCATTGGTCTCTGAGAATCAGAAGTGGAAAGTTCTGTAAGTCTTTTTAAAAAGAGACATTTATGCAAACAAACCAGGAAAATTTAGTCAGTAGGACATTAGCCTTGCTCTGGCTGCTTTGTACTTCAATGCCTACTTACATGTCACAATTTGTTACAAAAAATAGAAAGGACAAAACCAGTACTTGAAACACATGAGAAAATTCCCATCCGACTCCTGGCCCATTTCCAGTTCTCGTGATTTAATTATTTTATGATGTATCTGCTGATTTATGGTTTCATTTGGAACTCAAATGGCCAAGGCATGAGAAAAATCCCATTTTCTGTTTGCAGACGCTTAGAGAGATATCAGGTGGGGTAGAAGGTCAGTTTCAGAAGAAGGGTCTTTCTGTAACACGTTCTAAATTCTAGTTATTGAAAAAGAAGCCAAATGGAAGCCAAATGTCCTTATTCAGGTGTGCGTGCGTGCGTGCGTGCGTGCGTGCGTGTGTGTGTGTGTGTGTGTGTGTGTGTGTGTGTGTTTTCTTGACCTGACTCAGAGCCACAGCCCAACCCCTGATGGTTTCCAGTGGCTCCAGGCTTTTTCCTTCCTTCCTTTTAAAGTCCAACAATGTTTGATTTGCCAGCAGCGATAAGATCAGTATTTGAAGTATGGTCAGATGCCTCAGGGGCAGTGTTCGATATTTTGTTTCATACTAAGAGTACGGGCCCAAGTTTATTTTTAAGTGGCCTAAGGAAATCAATAACCTGGACTCTTTGTGACTTTTAATTTTAGCTTTCCTTAACTGAAGTGACGGAGTGATTCTTTGGGAACATTTTTTATTAAACATCTTTGTTTGTTTAATCAGGTAGTTAGCAATGCAGAGTTGCTTAAATATTTCTTACATTAGTGATCCTTGCTTAAAACAGTAAAATAGTACATTTTTCATTGGAAAGAAATTATTATTGATGTTTTGATGTTGAGCAGCTCAACATTAAAAGAGATCTGTTGAGGTAAGCAGGGAGATACTATTTTAAGGAAAATGTTCTTGGTCTTAAAGGTGAAAAAATGAGCTAACAAATGTGTGTTTACTTTTTTTAAGTCTCAGCTTAGTTCTTTAGCTCTTATTTCTTAAGCCTTGTACCACTTCTTATGGATAACCCAGACAAAATATTCCTTAGGATAAATTCTTAATTTTTTTTCACCTCTTAGAAAATTCACACGAAGAGTCTCTTCAAAACAACCAACTTATGTTTAATGATTGCTGAAACCCTCAAAGATTTCCGGCCTGAGGTTAAGTATCAAAGGACTGATTTCCTGGAGTACAGGAGGTGTTTAAGATGCAGGCAAGACAGTCAGCCGGAAATGCACCAGTACGAAAACGCAAAGCCAGGCTGGCACTAAAGCAGTTGGTGGTTAAATTTGGATGCTACAGTTTTCACTACAGAGTTTGTTTCTCTCTTCTCATAGTCTTCTACTGGATCTTGAGACGCCAATAGTCTCAGAGGCACTTTAAAAAATATGGTCGGCCGTCCGTAAATACCCATGGTTGATTGACTTCAGTATCCTGCCTCCAAAACCCAAGTCTGTGAATGTGTGTGTGTGTGTGTGTGTGTGTCCCTGTCAAACGGGTGTAGTGTTTGTGTATAACCTATGCACATTGTTCCACATATTTAAGTCACCTGTAATTTACTCACGGTCCCAAAGATAGGTGTGCCGTTTCGTTCACACACAAGGACCATCTGCCCGTGTTCAGCCCAGACACAAAGGGCTTCTGAGAATCCTCAGTCAGTGGTTTGTTGAAGGGACGGCTACGGGAACCCTGGATAGATGGCCAGCTGCACCTGACACAAACGAACACAGCTTTGTGCTAGGCGCTTGACGGTTCTTGGCAGCTTTATTTTTGAGCAGCTTCAAAAACATGCAGACATAAAACTGGCTGGTTTCAGAGAAGCAGAAAAGGAGAGCAAACAGAACTGGACTTACGAGTTAATCTGGGGGGGCTCCCTCCTTCCAGCCTAAGGGAGTGGCAGCAGGTGGCCTCCTGTTTCCTTAAAGTTAAATTCTGTTTCAATTCTTTTTCTGCATTCATAGGTGACCTGATATTTTGCACCTGCTCTTTACTCTTTTATTTTAATTTTATTTTGTCTTCTGTGTATGAGTGTTTTGTTTGCATGAGTGTCTACACAGCACCTTGTGCCTGGTGGTCGGATCCCCTGGGGCTTGAGTTAAAGATGGTTGTGAGCCTCCCTGTGGGCTTGAATCACATCACTGTTGTGAAAGGGTCTTAGCACAGTTTTGGTCTTGCTCATCCTTTATTTGCATTAAGATACATTCTTTCCTAAATACTCAGGAAATAATGTCTGTACATCATTCTTTAACAAGTATTTAAAGTAAAATAGCCCATATCTAGCTAGTTCACAACATCTTTGTAAGGGAACCAACAAGATTTTTCAGTTTTCTTAGCATCAATAAGCAGAAACTGACTTTGGCAGAATTAGGAAGGGATTTTTAGATATTGACTCATTCCCTTAGTTCTAGAAAGACACAGAACCAAATGCTAAGAAAACCAGCCCCAAGATGCTTCATGTGGCTAACACAGTGACCACTGCTGGTCACTGGTCTTTGCAGGTGATAACATCTAGCTTCAATGTGAACCAACTGTTCTGAAGCTGCTGCACCCTCTGTCTGGGGGCTTGGGATGTTACCACTAAGCAAACTGGTTCCTCTGTTCCTGTCACAGCAAATTCAAAGGTCCAGGCATGACTGGATTTCCAAACTTAAGTTCTAAGCCATGTAGGCATAGAGAAATGAACTTTTAGTCCCTTTGATTTCCTAATGCAGAGTGGCTTCCTGTACCACACAGTCCTACCATGGGGATTCCTTTTTCTATTTCTTTTTACTTATGTAGGTATTCTATGAGTATGAGTGATCTATCTGCATGTATGCCTGCATGCTAGGAGAAGGCATCAGATGCATTATAGATGGTTGTGTGCTGCCATGTGGTTGCTGGGAATTGAACACAGAACCTTGGAAAAGCAGTCAGTGCTCTTAACTGCTGAGCCATCTATCTCTCCAGCACTGCCACAGGGATTTATTTAGTAGTGGGAAAAGATTGTCATTCAGGGGAGCCAATCAAGACCCATGTTCTTTATAACAGGATGGATATCAACCACAAGACTTCATAATCTATGTCTGAGAAAAACGGCTTGGGATATGGTGATTTCTTTTCAAGTTTGCATAAATTAAATAAATTCAATTAAATGGAAGTAAATGAAAATAATTAGCACTGAAATCATCCAATTACACTTGAGTTTTCTTACCTGAAATGCCTGGAACTAGAAGTGTTTAGAATTTGGACAATTTTTCAGATTGTGAAATATTTGGTTTATATATAGTTACAAAAGCATACAATGAAGTGTGTTGGGGATGGGGCACACATATGAACAAAGCTCATTTATGCACTGTACCCATGGTTTTCCCCACTGTATGCACCTTCTACACATAAACTGGACGCAATTTTAATGCATCAGCACTTTGATGGTGACCCATCACAGGAGGTCAGGTATGGGATTATTTTCTGCCTGTGACATTCTTCAGAGCTTAAACAATTTGGATTACTGGAGCATTTTCTACTTGAAGGTTTTAGACAAAGGCTGTCCAGCCTCTCTGCAGTCCTTGACCTCTGGTGTGGCTTTTCTTTCATCTGAAGCACGCCTTCTCATTCTCTACTTTCACATGCGTTTGTCCAATCCTCTTGCTTCTTTCTTACCCGGAATGGAGATGAGGGAGGGAGCCGTGTGGAGTGGAGAAAAAGACCCTGGGTGGCCTCACTGCAGGCAGGCTTTGACAGTGGAGATTACAGACTTCATACCATTGGCAGACTACTGCGTCCACACAGTGAGACACCCTTGTCGTGATGGAGAAGAGGTGGTGAGTCCAGGCTTTCTGTGGATTCTGAACGCTGGATGGATCTGAGCCAGCAATGAACACTCGGCGTGGCCTGGGCAGTCCATAATGAGCCTTTCTTTGGGCATCTTTTCCTTAGTTTGATGTCCCCCATTGCTTTGGCTGTATATTTGTTAAGATCTCCTTGAAACCAGTGATCCCAGGGCATTAAAAGTCATAGATTCTCCACCTGTGGGTTTTCAAACAAAGCTCAGATTGAAGTAGAATTCAAACAATTTAAGCAATAGATCGTCAGTGGGCTGAGTCCAGAGAAAACAAACAAAAAACAAATAAGGAAAAAAGCGCTTCTCTTACTGGGATTTGTACTGGAAATCTTAAAAAATGCTGCACATGAATGCTTTTGCATGCTTCTTACTGTAATTTTATTTTCTGATTATTGTTATAGGCATCCATGGAAATATCCACAGTGCCCATGAGAGAAAAAAATATTTAGCAAAGGTCTCTCAGTGTAATCTGTTTCTCTTAGAAATAATTTGATTCTATAAAAATAATCTAAGGGGAGGAGCTCGTTAAAACATAATTTGAATATTAGAGTGAAATAGCTTATAATTTCTATTGAGGGAAAAATTTAGTAGTTTCAAAACTGAGTTATGAAACCAGAGCATATGAAACAAATGCAGATTTAATCTTAGAAATCATTGTTCAAATGAATCAGATTTGAGAATGATTTCATTGGCAGGTCAGTTAGCACTTTCTCCAAAATATTCTTTTTGAAAAATTAATCCCTAAACAATTTTTCCTGAATTTCCCAGACCCACTCCATAAAGTTTACCTGCTTGGTTCATGAAAGCCGGGGCACCCCCTTAGCACAGGAATCTTCTAGAAGAATCTTACAGTCCGCTTTCCATTCTCTCCGCCTGTCCAGGCTTCAGTATATCTTACGACAGCTGTAGTAGATTGTCCCTTTGGCTTGCTGCAAGACATCTATCAACAGCAGAAAGCCTGCCATGCCGTGTGGACGTCAGACTCTCCACTGGAAGCCACAAGGGTGACACTGTCCATGTCCCCACTGCCTCCTGTGATTTCCGTCTCCAGAATATTCTCTCTACTCCCCCTTCCACAGGACAACCTGTCAGGTATTTCCATCAGTCAGTGACTTCTCCACCCTGTTATCTTGTATCCAGGCTAAACATTGCTGCTTCTCCCAACTGCCCCTTAAAACACATCTTGGAACCCTTCCACTGGGTTTTCTGTCTTCAGAGTCCAAGAGTATCTGAAACATGGTTGTATATGTGTAATAATGGGGGTCTTCTCAACTAGCTACCTTTCCTCCCTCACCATGCCCAACCTTTGTGGGTCAAAGATAAATCAGGGGAAATAGCTTCCAGTTTCTGGTTACTGTATTCAGAGTACCAAAAGTGAATTGAATGGCAGGAAGAGTGTCGTCTCTACACCCCTCCTCTTGAATTATTAGTGGTTAACAAGACAGCCACCAATTTTTAAAGATTAAAAAAAAGAGAAAGTCTAAAGTATGGACAGTACAAACCATTACCATCTGTTGAGAAGGTGACAGTTTATTATAAGTCTTTTGGTTAGCTGCCCTGAGAGAGAATACTTTTCTTCTTTTGAAATAAATGTTACAATTTCAAAATTCTGTCCTGATAACTAGCCCAAGTTACAATGAGTATTATACAAATAATGATTATATTACAGAATTATTCATGAAAGAAAGCACAAAGGAAATGTGTCTGAATAATGGAAATACAAGAAATTCTGTTATATTGATGTATGTATAATATGATATCTCAAGAAGAAATACAGAAAAATTTTATTTAGTATGTAAATGGCTATTGACATGTGAAAGATAGACACGTGGGTAAGAAGTGGAGAGCCCTGACTGATGGTGGCGAACACCTTTAATCCCAGAACTCAGGAGGCAGAGACAGGCAGATCTGTGTGGGTTCAAGGCCAGTTTGATCTACAGAGTTAGTTCTAGGGCAGCCAGGGCTACAGAGAGAAACCCTTTCTCAAAAAAACCAAAACCAACTGAACAAACAAACGAGAATCATTATCATTGGAGCAAATTGGTAGGTTTCTGGATTTAACTATTCATGTTTGAAGCTAAGTAGATGAAATAACTGGAGAATGGCATTTATTTTTGCTCAGGAAAGTATTAGTCCATAACAGCTGGGCTACATTTTGAACCTGTCTATGGTAATGAAGAGTGCCATGGCAGGAATGTTCTGTGGAACCAAGCCTGTCACATATGCCTGGGGAGAGAAAACGAAGAAGGGATGAAATTCCCAGTCTTCCCCCAGGAGCATGACCTCAGGAAGCAGAAAACAGACACAAGGCTCTACTCCTGACTACCCCACCATGCCTCAACAGCACTCCCGGCTGAAGACCCAGTCAGTCACACAGACTACCTCCTGACCATGCCTCAACAGCACTCCAGGCTGAAGACCCAGGCCGTCACACAGACTACCTCCTGACTACCCCACCATGCCTCAACAGCACTCCCTGCTGAAGACCCAGTCAGTCACACAGACTACCTCCTGACTACCCCACCATGCCTCAACAGCACTCCCTGCTGAAGACCCAGTCAGTCACACAGATTACCTCCTGACTACCCCACCATGCCTCAACAGCATTCCCTGCTGAAGACCCAGTCAGTCACACGGACTTCGGAGGGTCCACTCAAGACAACATGGTAGGTCGTACTTCCCCCTCTAAGTTGCCACACCTATTGGATTTATACTAATACCTTTTAAGATTGTGAGGCTGATTTAGATTTGTCTCTAGAACATTATCAAAGATACTTGAATGATGAACTGAGGCCCTGTTCTTGAGCTGAATTTGTCCAATAATTCAAATTGTCTAAGCAGAGGTCAACCCATTTTCATACTTAGGCAGCGTTAGGTGTGCAGCATGTGCTACATCTGTGAGCCTTTGCATCATTGCAAGAGTAAACTAACGTCACTGAGGTGCTGATAACATGTCAGACATTTGCTCTTAAAACAGTGCCAATTTGGGCGTTTATTTGCTTCGTGAGTATATTTTAATAGATGAATAAAAGGCCACTCTACTCTTATGTTGTCTGCTTGAAATGAACAGGGAATGTGGGAAGACCAGTCAATCCTATGAGTCTAGTCCCATTGCCACAGTCTTTTTCTAGAGAGAGGGTTGTTTGGTTGGAAGCAGTATAGAATGCCATGGCAATGGCCGAGATCCTCTGAAGTCCTCAGGTGCTGGCTTCTTCAGAAGCACAGTGTACAGAGAAAGCAAGGCGCTGTGAAGCCTGCACAGCACACAGAACCATCTGTAAACCAAACCAGAGCTCCCCTCCTTTGTGAACCAGTTGCTGAGAACTAACTACCCAGGAGAATGACTTTGCAGCCTGAGAGAAGGCAGGGCACCGAGACAGGGGACTACTTGTTGGCCCCTTCTTCAGAGAGCCTCCTTATGCCTTCTTAAATGAAATGTCAATTTTGTAGTTTAAAAAATGTGTTAAAAATACATAAGCGTGTTCATTTGGCTTTAAATGACTAGATATCTCATGATATTTCTAAACACAGTGCTTAAGAAGATAACCATTATCCCTGAACATGGAGTTGTTGATATGCCTTCTGTCATTCATTCCACTGGAGAAAACTGACTTTCTGTCTTGCAGCAGGTATGAATGACAGGTCTGTTGTTAATCTTTACTCTAGGAGCTGGGTTTACATTCATTCATTCTTCATTCATTTTAAATATAACCAAGTAATATATAATAAGATAAAGCAAAAAAACGATCACTTTGAAATAGGACAAGACAGACCAACAGAAGGGAAAGAGCCCAACAGAGGCTACTAGAGTTAGAAACCCACTTGTTCCTATGCTTGGGAATCCAAAACAACACTAAACTGAAAGCCATAAAAGACCTGGCACAGCCCTGTGGATGCTTTTTCAGTCTGTGAATTCATAGGAGCTTGGCTCGTGTTGATTTTGAGGGCCTTGTTTTCTTGGTGTCCTCCACCTCTCTGGCTCTCACACTCTTTCTGCCTCCTCTTCTGTGGGGACCCCTGAGCTCTGAGTGGAGAGGTTTGAAGGAGGCATCCCATTTAGGTCTCAGTGTTCCAAGATCTCGCACTCTCTGCATCATGTCTGGCTGTGGGTCTCTATTTGTTCCCATCTGCTGCAGGGGGAAGTTTCTCTGGTTTTCATTGAGCAAGGCACTGATCTACTAATATAGCAGAATGTCATTAGGAGTCATTTAATTATTACTTTTTTTCTTTTCTGCTTTTTAAGACAAGTATTATTTGATTTTGCCTTAGGTCCCTGTCCAGGTTCTTAGTCATCCCAAGCAGTGTTGGATGTGGACTATTCGTGGAGTGGTCCTTAAGTCAAATCAGACATTTGATGACTCCCACAAACTTTCTGCCCACCATTCCACCAACATATAAGTAGTACACCACGGAAGATAAAGAGTTTGTGGCTAGATGGTGTTTGTTTGTTTCTCTTTTGATAATATTCAGAGTACCTTCCTGTAATATATTTAAATTTAGAAATAGTTTTAAATTCTTTTTAACAACAAATAGAAAAATAAGAGCTTACTTTAAATCTTAATTTTCCCATTTGTTGGTTTATTCTCCTATTAAATATAATCATTTTGTTTTATGGTACTTTTAATTGTTGGAATTACTTATTTTTATTTTATGTGTACGTGCATGTGTGACTCTATGATGTATTGTGCACTATGTGGGCATTGCCCATGGAGGCTAGAAGAGCGCATTGGATCCCCTGGAAGTGGAGTTACAGATAATCAAAAGCTGCCGTGTGGTTGCTGGGGACCAAACCCAGGTCTTCTCAGCAACGACCCTTTCTTATTTTATGATACTTATGAGAATATTTAGATTTCTCTCATTCCTTTCTTTAAAACTTACAAAGACTTCATTAGAATACTTAGTGACTGTAACAACAACAGTAAACCCACAAAAACACATCATTGTTTTTTCCTTGTTTTGCTTTTGCTTTTGGAGCCTTAGGTTTCTTCTTTATAGCATTCTTTATGGCATGAACAAGGAATGCAATGTGTTTACACAAACACAAAAAAATTGTGCATCAGAATTTTTACAATATTAAAGGAGTCCTACACAAGGGTACAGGCATTATACACATGGGGGTGCCAGCCAGGGTGCCCCTCCCATCATTCCCTCCACTTGGGAGGAGCTAGGTGAGATGAAGCACACCATTTTTAAAAAATACTTTAAAAAATTAAATTTGTGTGAGTTTGGAGTTGACAAATCATATATTGATTTTTTTAAAGGAGGAAACTATCACTTTTTAATTCCCCTTTCATTGTTTTCTGCCTGGGCAGATGAAAATCATTGATAAAACCAGTAACTATTTCCTGCATGCCTATGATTCATGACTTTAGCCTCAGACTTGATGATTAAAATTTTACCCCTCTACTTGAGGATTTACCTATGAAATTGGATATACCACCCCAACAAGCCATTAGGCTGAACAGCTAGAGAAAAGTTAGAATACCATGCAATTAAGTAATAGATGTTGCTAGGTGAAAGCTATGATTGCTCAGAAATTAGAGTGAGGAAGAAGATAATTGAAACAGGAAGGAAGAATGAGGAAATTAAAGTCTTGAAATAGATTATTTTGGACATGTGAAGAAAAACAGGAGAGCTTAAAGGCCTAGGGAACATATGAGAGCTGCCTCGGAGCTGTGGTTAAATCTGGGTGTTAGTACTAGCCATGTAAGAATAGGTGATTTTGTGGTATAAAAGAGAGTATTGATAAATAGGCTGCTATGTTGAGAGTTTTGTAAAAAAAAGTTTAAAGAGTTTAAAACTAAACCAGAGGTCAGTAGGGATTTTTAAAGTAATAGCAATGTTTTAGATTGCTATGGCAGCTAGATCTGGAGGGTGAACATAGTGCCTAGGAAGCCATTGTGATGGAATGGGTAGGAATCCTGGGTGGATGGGGGATTCCAGAAATAAGGAGACTAGGGGAGGCTAGGATGTTTGAAGATAAAAAAAATGTATCTACAGCAAGTAATACAAATAACTGGATTCTTAGCACCTGTAGAGGAATATGTAAGACCAGGCAGCTTAGTGAGCCAAGAGAGACCCAAAGGCAGCTATCTAGCATCCAGCTGAAACAGTGGAAAACTTGTCTCCACCAGAAGTAGAATGCCAGGCTCTAGCATGTATCATCCATGGGCCACAGAATAGAACTCAAGATGACACAAGCCAGAGACTTCCCCCAAGGTTTTCCAAAGAGCTCGCATTAACCCAAGTATGTACACACCCATGTCTAACACCCTGGATCAAAGCAAAAAGAAAGCTGCAATTTGATTATACACAAGACTGTTAAATTTTCTTTGATTTACTCTTAAGATGAAACTATGACGTACAAAGATATTTCTGCAGGGACTCTGGAGAATAGTCAAAATGTCTTAAACTTCAGGGGCAACTTTCCTCCAGGTTTTTGTAGTGTTGGTTTCAACTGTAAAGCAACGTAATTACTTTGCCTCCTACATTCTAGAAGTTAGTTGCTTTTTTTTCCTTTCAATTATATAGTCAAACAAATATTTTTTTGGCACATTTGTACATATTCTTCCAAATTCCTCAAGATTCATGCATGTTGGTGTCTGCCTGGCTCTGGTTTTGAGAACAGCTTTACAGTGTGGGCAGATGGCATTTGTACAAAGACTTTAAGCAAGACGGGTCTTAGGAAGAATGTACGCAGGGCTTCTGTGGGGATGTTTTTTAAATCTGGAAACATGCTGCTTTTTTGTTAACAGTGGGGGAAGTTTACCTTTTTTCCTTCAGTTGTCGAGGACTATTTAATTTTTGTGTTTGAAAATCTGTTTCTCAGGATATCAGCCTTATAGGCTTCATGGTTACAGGCCGTGTCCCCAGATGTGCTACTATAGGCACATCAGAATGATACCTTGGATACAGTGTGAGCTATGCTGGCTCCTGTAGGAAATAGCACACACACACACACACACACACACACACACGAACCCTGAATATAGATGAATAAGGAATTGGGTATCTATCATAGCTAATAGTAGCGATCGAACAGCTTATGAAACATTCCTTATTTTAATGTAGCCTTGCTGATGTCATCTCCGAATTCACGTGGGTGAAAATAGTTGGTTTGCCACACCTATAAATGTAGACTTGTTTCATAGGCATTCTGGGTGATATGAGATAGGGGAAAATCCAGTTATTAAAAGAACTAACGACAGAGTGTTCTAACTATGGCCTCTTTCTTAGAATCTGCAATATGTCTCTTATGCTGGGACACAAATAAAGAAAAGCTACTATTAGATTATTAGAGCTCCTTTGGCCCCAGTGTAACACAAGCATTTCCTCTTCTGATGGCACTGATCTTTCACTAATATTAAAAGGATGCTGCTTTCCACAGTGTTACCAGGCATGGTGAGATGGTTTGCACAAATTCTAACAACTATCCATAAGGTTAAGCAATCCAACAGAGGATGAATCAATATAATTCTTTATTTTTTAAGAATAAATTTTGTGCAAGTGACACATGGGGTCTACAGGACGTGTCTAATGATGATTCACGGGGTATAAGGATTCAGGGCTGTGTTTGTGGGCTCCCTCAGGCTCCCTCAGGCTCCCTCAGGCTGTGCTCAGAACATAAGGACTTCACATGACTGAGCTCATCATGGTGCAGCTCTCCCAGGAGGGAACATGGCTCCTGGAGTCTGTCACAGAGAAGAGAAGTGGCATTTCCCTTTCTGGTCTGGGGCAGGACAGCCTCTTCTACTATAGTTAGGGAAAATGAGTGTCGAGGGTTAGCAAAGCAGTGGGTTCCACGGGTAGCTTTGGGCTGACTAAAACGTTCCCCAAACTGTTCTGTGACCTGGGGCTCATCCTACCTGACCTTTCTATGTCCCCTTTCACAGCTGAGGGCCTACAGCTAGGCCTGAAGCATCTCTGCCTGTCACTCTACCTCTCTCCTGCTTTGGTGTGTCTCTGTTTTGTCTATGGCGTCTGTACATCAGTTCCTCAGAAGACCCAAACTGTTCTGCCCTTTGTGATCGTGGCCATAGGGACACACAACTGTATTGTCACCAGGCCCAAACCTTGACTGTTGGTCTGCATTCTTCATGGTCATGATGATGGCAGGCCTTCTCTTTCTGTCACTTTAGAATCTGCAGAACAAATCCAGATCTCATCAGACTTGGGGGTGGAGGAAGGCTACCTGAGGCTATCATCAATCCTTAATGAGGTGTCACCAAGACATGATTAAAAGAGTTGGTGCCCCATCAACTGGGAGAAGAGGGAGGACCTCACTGAGTCACTGAGAGTGACAAGCAGGGAGGATCATCAAAGCAAGGCTCTAGAAAACAATGGAGCTGTGAGTCTGGGAGAAGCAGGCATTACAATAATCGTACTTGACTTTCATGGGTTAGCCTGGCAACATCACTGTTGGCAGTTCTGTGTCTTAGGCTCCATACTCACCAAAACCTTTCGTTTTCATTGTTTGAGACAAGGTTTCTCTGTGTAATAGCCCTGGCTGTCTTGGAACTTGCTTTGTAGACCAGGCTGGCCTCAACCTCACTAAGATCTGCCTGCCTCTGCCTCCCAAGTGTTGAGATTAAAGGCCTGCGCCACCACTACCCAGTTTACCAAAGCTTTT